AAAGGAGTGAGCAGACAGCTGCGAATGCGGAGCATAGAGGAAGATTCAGCAGCATGAATGACCCAGGATAGGGGATTCCTTATCAGAAATTTTGTTCTTATGTTTAGTCTCTTTATTACATTATCTAATTTTGATTGTGTGTTTTCTCATTATTGTAAGGTCTTTTTCATTTTTACTTATTATCTTTGCCTATTTTTTCCTAATCCTATGGCCCCTTTCTCTTCATCTTCATCATAATCCCTCTTTGGTGCTTTTTCTTTGCTTTCAATTATTAAATAATGCTTCTTTTGCCATTTCTTCCGTCTCCCGCCCTCCTTTCATCTCACCCACTCACTGCTTCCACAATTACTCTAAGTACATTTTAATTTCAAAGCACACTCTATATTACTTTTTATATTTACTGCCTTGTGGTAATTGGTGATATATTAGTGTGTTTAAATTAATTTTGAGCATACATTTCTACACCTGATAGAGTTAGGTTTGGTGCTGCTACAGCAGTTGGTTTATGCTTGTTCAGTACTACTGCAGACTACTAAGAAGATTTCCAAATAAAACAACAAAAAAATTAAAATCAAAGTGTATACAAACTGCAACACAGAAGCAAACAAAAAATAATGCAACATGACTTCTCCAAATGATCATAGCTCCTCAATAACAAAAAAATACTGACATGGGTAAAATATGAAATTAGAAGTCAAAAAGTTATTAGCAAAAATTAGCAACAACCTGAAAGAGATTATAAACAAGTATATGAGTGAGGCATGGAAACTAAACCAAGACCTAGACAAGAAAGCTAGTAACATACAGAGGAAAGTCAACAACATGTATGAAACTCAAAGACAGGATGGAAAAGACATAAGCTTGGAAGAGAAGTTCATCAGGAAAATTCAGAATTTGAAAACAAATAGGACTGTTAGAAATAAAGATTTCAATAACTCTAAAAATGCAATAGAAGTACCACAAACAAACAAATAAATAAACAAACAAATGACAGACCATCAGATAGAGGTCAAGGTCAAGGTGTTACATTAAAACGCTAGTAATGGAAAAAAATAAATGAGCATGACCACACCGACCCAAAACTCTGGAATAGTATCAAGATATCAAACACAGAAACTGATGGGATAGATGAAGGTGCGGTAAAATCAAAAGTCACAAGTTTCTAGTCAACAAAATTGCAGCAGAAAATTGATTAAATCTGTATAGACATCCAAGCACAAGTGGCCTTTAGAACCCTAAAGAAACATCACTAGAGAAGAACAGCATCAAAGGATATTATAAGCAAATGGTAAAAATATAATGCTGAAGGCTGACAATGGAAAACACAACCCACCCAAAATGTAAGCATGTCTGAATAATAACAGATCCTTCACCAGCAGTCTTAAAGACATGAAACCACAGAATTTATGGCCCCAAAGTAAATGAGTACCAACAAACATTTCTATATCCAACCAAACTATCAGTTCGAAGCCACCAAACAAGCACTGTAGAAAATGTTTAAAATAATACCACAGATTGACGGAGATGGGGAGATTCATGATGTGCCAAGTTGCACAATCATGAGTCTCCAAATTTCTATCCCCAGTATCAACGTAAATGCCAGGCACAATAGCAAGCATCTGCAACTCTAATACTGATGAGTCAGAGACAGGCAGATTCTTCTCATTGGGTACCAGTCTAACCAAGTGATTAACTCAGGGGCAGTACTAGATATTCTGTCTCTAAAAGTAAGATGGAGAGAGATCAAGAAAGATATACAAGGTCAAAACTCTGTCTTCTATCTGTAAACACTGTGCACACACTCAGAGACATGCATAACACACACACACAGAGAGAGAGAGAGAGAGAGAGAGAGAGAGAGAGAGAGAGAGAGAGAGAGAGAGAGAGAGAGAGAGAGAGTCCTATATGCAGAAAAGAAAAACAGTCTTTTCATGGGAGTACAAAAAATATATATTTTATGAAAAAAATAAATGACCAAGGAAAGTGAGGAAAGCAACTATCATGTCCAACACAGAAAACCTCTAATTCTATTAGAGAAAACAAAACAACCAATAATAAAATTCAAGCAACCCAAAACACATCCAACAATTCCACTCTTGGGAATATACCCAAGAAATGCCCAATCATACTACAAAAGCATTTGTTCAACTCTGTTCATCGCATCACTATTTGTAATGGCCAGAACCTGGAAACAACCTAGGTGCCCCTCAATAGAAGAATGGATAAAGAAGATGTGGCAATATACACATTAGAATTCTACTCCGTGGTAAAAAAAAAATAACATCTTGAATTTTGCATGCAAATGGATGGAAATAGAAAACACTATCATGAGTGAGATAACCCAGACTCAAAGGATGAATATGGTATGTACTCACTCATAAGTGGATTCTAGCCATAAACAAAGGCTCTTGAGCCTATAATTCCTGATCCTAGAGAAGCTAAATAAGAAGGTGAACCCAAAGAAAAACATGTAGTTATCCTCCTGGATATTGAAAGTAGACAAGATCGCCAGGCAAAAGTTGGGAGCATGGGGGTGGGGGTGGGATGGGGATAATGGGAGATGGGGAGAGAGAAGTGAGAAGGGGAGGATGGGGAGAGCTTGGGGGGATGGGATGGTTAAGATGGAGGAAGGGTGGATATGGGAGCAGGGAAGAAGATATCTTAACTAATGGAGCCATTTTAGGGTTGGCAAGAGACTTGGTTCCAGAGCGGTTCCCAGGTGTCCAAGGGGATTTCCCCAGCTAGGTCCTTGGGCAGCCGAGGAGAGGGTGCCTGAACTGGCCTTCTCCCATAGCCACACTGATGAATATCTTGGATATCACTATAGAACCTTCATCTGGTGATGGATGGAGATAGAAACAGAGACCCACATTGGAGCACCGGACTGAGCTCCCAAGGCGCAGATGAAGAGCAGGAGGGAGAACATGAGCAAGGAAGTCAAGACCGCGAGGGGTGCGTCCACTCACAGAGATAGTGGGGCTGATCTAATGGGAGCTCACCAAGGCCAGCTGGACTGGACTGAACGAGCATGTGATCAATCCGGACTCTCTGAATGTGGCTGACAATGATTACGGACTGAGAAACCAATGATAATGACACCGGGTTTTGATTCTAAGGCTTTTTGGAAGCCTAGTCTGTTTGGATGCACACCTTCCTAGACCTGAATGGAGGTGGGAGGGCCTTGAACTTCCCACAGGGCAGGGCACCCTGACTTCTCTTAGGACTGGAGAGGGAGGGGGAGGGAAATGGGAGGAGGTGGAAATTTTTAATAACTGAATTAAAATAAATATATAAATAAGCAACAAAACAAAAAAACCCACATCCAATTGAATTAAATGAATTAGGAGACCTCTGTTAATAACAAGGTTAAATATAAATGGCTTTAACACACCAATAAGAAGAGATTAGCTTATTCAATTTAAAGACAAGATCCAATGATTTATTGTATTTATGGGTTGTGAGAAATCATATTAGAAAGGTATTTTCACATGCATGTTTATTGCTGAGCTATTCACAATAGCAAAGATATAGATCCTGTTCATATCTTTGATATCCATCAATAAATGAATGGACCAAGGAAATGTACTATTATAAACAATGGAATTTTATTAAACTATAAAGAAATACCTGGACAAATAACAAAATTTTGATCACATTATATATATGTATGTACATATATAATATATATATACGAAACATGAAGGTAGAAAGGGAAATGAGAGATGTAAAGTGATACATGCAACATACAATAAGGGAGTAATCAAATACAAGAGGTAACAGAACATTTGTATCAAGATAGCAGAAAGGAGAATGCAGGAGAAATAAAGGGCACCAATAAGAATTGGAGAACAATCAAGAGAAGGCTGGGGGAGTAAATAAGAAAGTACAAAAAAAAAAAAGAAAGTACAATGATGTATACATATGGAAATATCTCATGAAATCCACTCCCTTATACGCTAACCCAAAAATGTAATAAAAAGTTAAAGGCTATTCAAAACATAGAGACAAGACAAAAATAGCAATTTTCTGAGACTAGCCATTGCTTTATAAAATTTCACTTTAATGATAGCCAATATTTGAAAATGGTTGGCTTCAAAATTTCCAGTGGGAAAGATTTATATTAGTAATGATGCAACAACAAAGATTTATTAAATGGCAATGCTTGCTCTGCATTAATGATAGGATTCAATTCAGCTCATTGGAGTATTTTCCTTATAAAAACTTAAGCTCAACTTAACCTTAACAGAATGAAACTGCATGTATTGTGTGATTCTTCTTTAATCTGTTGATTTAAATGTATCAAATGAAGTTGTGTCTGAAGTTACATGTGAAACAATCAATCTAACTAGAGAATGACACAGCTGATTTTAATAAACAAATAAATGAGAATATTTCCCAATTAGTGACAGTAAACAAAAACTATGCAAGACATCACAAACCCACAGATATTTCGGCAAAAAGGTTTCATTTTGAGATTTTAATCTCCAGTTTGTTAAATATGCAGAGCACAATTCTATTTACGGTGTTTGCATTGTGGTTTCCATGGTAATTTAGAAAGGCTCATCTGAAATAATTTTTTAAGGTGAGGAAAAATCTTACAGACATTTTAAGTTATAATGTTGGTAATTTCCATAATTCATATTAATATAAAAAGCCTTCCAATTGGCACAAGTAGTGTATGTTTTCTAAATAAAGTTAGGGTCATATTCTGATGTAGACTTCCCAATGTTTAGATAACTTGTACATGCCCATTACTTTTTAATATATTTGTCTCAGGTGAAGATGAGACGATTGGCCCCATTACTGAGGAATAGGTAGGAGACTCTTTCTGTTGACTATCACGTTGTGTGAAGAGAAAGCTTTTTCTCAGAAGGGCCCTAGATGATATTGGCATAGAGAACTCCTGTAGACAGATTATTTGATTGAAGTGGATGTTTCTTCCCAACACTCAGTATCACTTTGAAATGACATGACTAACCTGACAGAGTAGAAAGGTTATTCTAGATAATCATTTCATCACATTGTGTTGGAACATCCAAACATTCAAGAGAGATGGTCTGAAGATTCTCCTTCCTCTGATGAATTTCCAAAGTACTGTCCTTACATCTCACACATGACTGGATGAACAAACTACCATGCTCTGAAAATTGATCACGAAATTCAGAAGTCATAAAATAATACACAACTGGATCAAGACAACAATTCAGATTTGCAAGACACAGGGAAATGATGTGAAAACACAGAGTGCTTTTAATAAAAGAACAGTTGGAGAAGACGTGTTGCTTCACCATCATAAAAAACGGGAAGTTGAGATGGTAAGGCGTGAAGCACACTATGAATACCACTGCACACATTAGGACCATCCTCAAAGCCTTTTTCCTCTCTTTAATATTCTGGGGTGGATCATGGAATTCCTGTAGAGATTTTCTTGTTTTCCATGTGCAATATGTAATAATTACAACAGGCAATACAAACCCTCCAAGTTCAGCAGCCGTCACCATGCCGATGGAGGAAGCCATACTAATGTCATGAAGCCCTAAGTCAGCAAAGCAGGATTCGCTGTTGTTGGCTAGGCCCGCACTTCTCAGGATGGGAAGTGGCAAACAGGCAGTACCCACGATGACCCAGATGGCAACACTGATGGCCACATCGTACCTACGCTTCCAGTTTCTGGCTCTGAATGGCTTGAGGAGAAAGAGGCATCTCTGAAGGCTGATGCATGTCAAGAAAAAAATGCTGGCATACATGTTGAGATATTTCAGATAGAAGCAGAGCAGGCAAAGAGCCCTCTGGAATGGCCAATTACGGTTGATATAATAGTAAATCCGGAGAGGTAAGGACAGGACGTGAGCAAGATCTGCCACGGAGAGGTTGATCATGAAAATGATGGCCTTATTCTTCTTGCTGATGAAGCGCCACAAGACCCACAGGGCTGCACTGTTAGCCAGGAGACCAGGGATGAATATGAAGATATAGGTGGTTGCATAGAGAGAGTACTGAAATGTCAGACATGTGACATTGCAATTACTCTCAGCAGTGCTGGTACTATTGCTGCCCATCTTGAGTATCTCAGTATGTTCATCAAGTTGACCTATAGAGTTATGGCTCCTGTTCAAAGATATAGGTGGATGCCAAGAGGGTGTACTGAAATGGCATTTGCAGATCAGTGCACTTAACTCTCATACTGTTTGTGCGGTGACTTCCCAACTTGTGCAATTATGTTCCTTCCTTAGGAAAAGCCTTTGTGTGGTGGTTTCTATGGAAAATAGAATAAAGATAGGGTCAGAGGCAGGTCAGCATATTAGTTGTATTCCTACCAGAGGTGGTAAAATGTCATCTTTCATAAATTTAAAAGCTCTCATCTATGTCGAATTAAAATAGTGGAGCAATTTACCAAGAGATAAATAGTAGCTAGGGAGATATTTTCTAAAATGTTAAAGATAGTTATTTTGACAGTAACTTTATTCGGGTTTTTATTCTGACAGAGAATCATCAAAATTCACAGGTAACCAACAGCCAAGATCTCATGACCCATTAGCTCCCAGACAAATATTCCATCACCCTTGTGAAGTTCCATGTTTCATTTGTATACCTGTCTCTGTCCAAAAAGTTTGAGATCTAGCAAAGTTATTGTCATCAACCCCAGGATAATGAATTTTTAATCCATTTTCAGTAGCTACCTTATAAATCATTATATGGTTGCTAAGGTGAGCTATGAAATCTTAACGGCATTAGGGGTCTAAGCAGGGGCTGGCAGGGCACCAGGCTTTAGGAAGGATAAGGTCTCAAGAAAAACAGGGCTCCCTTCTTCAAAATTTGACTGAAAGCAAGGTTTGTTTTACTAACATCTTGTTAACGCCTTTTATAAGCTCTTGCCACAAAAGTTCTGTGTTCATTAATAATACCACGGCAGCTTCAGACACTCATATATATTGAAACTATCCTTTCACTATGTTAGTCAGCTTCTAGAATGCATGAAGCCCTAGAGGGTATCCTGTCAGAAATGAAGCGAAAGGAGGCTGTTTCCCTTTAGCTCTGAAATCCCATGAAAATTATTCATGTAAATTGCTGTATTTCCAGTCGTCATAAATTTTGAAAACGTCTTTCATTGATTTAGTGACTTCAAATCTGTTTCCGTATTGTTTCAGCTTAGCTATTCCTGTCAAAGACAAAAGAGTCTACTCCTTGCTAGACAAAAAAAGCTCTTCAAATATCTGAAAATAACAATCATGCCTTCCCTAAAATCTTCTTTAGCCAGGTTAAACATTCATTTCCTAATATGACATTGTCCTTGTTCTTGGTTTTGTTTTATGTTACAACTTTACTGCTCTTGGCCAAAAGCCACCATGGTACAACTTATTTCACCCTTAGAATGAACATTTAACTAATTATCATTTGATAGTTTTTAGGAAATATGTTTTATATATCTGATTTCAAACACAAAAGAATAAACCACATTTTATTGCTTCGTCCTACTTTTTAGTACTTGAAAAGGCAGTTAGTTTGCTACACATTTATAAAGTTAAAGGAAACATGAGACAACATTAATGGCAACAAGTATTCAAGTGGAAAAATGAAATGCATATGCTGCAATGCCTCTTTAATTAGTCTGCAAAGTAATATGGGGTCCTAGAACCATGGGTACAAACCTAGCCACAGTCAATCAAAAGCTGTAAAGATGTAATCAATTCAGACAAAGCCCATACTGTTTCAGAACCTACGTGATGTCTCTGCAGTGAGTACATGTAACTCTTGGATAAACTGTATTTACTTAGCTGAAAGTTCAGTGCAGCCAAACAACCAGGTCATTCAGGCAAACAGCTATTCTGATTTTTTTTTTAGTTAACTATGCTGTTGAATCAGGCAATTGGCCCAGTAAAGTGTAAGTGGAGAAACACTATCACCTTTTTATAATTTTCTTGCACTAACTGAAATAATTGATATTGTGTATTTTTTATATTTAAGCTAAAGTTATAAAATACTTGCAAACACAAACCAGGTGGAGTGTTCAAATACAACCAGCCACTTAATGCTGATAATCTTGGTTTAATTATAAAAATGAATAACAATTACTAAATGCCTATTTTGTACAGATTCTATAATAAGTACTCTGTGTATACTCTATCAATCTCTGACACCAGTGTTATGAAACAATAAGATACAATGGCTGGTTTGTCAGATGAACAACCTGAGACTTCTAAAAGGCAAGGCTCACTTCCACAAATCACAAAAGTAATTTTTCTGGCATCCCAGTATCCATAATTCTAATAATTCTCTTTAGTGAGCATCATATAATATTTTTGGCATGTTGAGGTCACTTTCCTTTCCAGGTGGTTTTCTTGAGGGATATAGAAATCTCCTACATGCCTAATACTCATCCTCTTGTTGCATATTTTCCTTTCAAATAAAAGTCTAGTAAATGGTTTTGAATATTGGAAAGGTCTGCTGACGTTTTGTTGAGTGAATGATTTTTTTGAAGGACAAATTAATCTGAGAGACAGAAAGTCTTTGTGAGAGGAGGTGAATGAGTGGGAATGAAGGAGTGTCTGGGGATTAAGATTTAGCTGTGATGTTTGACTTGACCACCAGGTGTCAGAAGTACACCAATGTTCAAATACGTTAACACATGATAGGAATTTGAAACTCCATTAATAGAAAAATTAAAGGTGATCAATTGGTATCCTGTGAACTTCAAAAACAGAATCCTTTCAACAGTATTTTAGAATGCTTGGTTTACTATTGCCATCAGCTTCCACATTTCATAATCATTTTCTAAAGATTGCTTGGCTTCTAGATGCATTATAGATTCCTAAATTATAGAGCTATTAGGGGTCATCTAGATAAGAATCAGTTACTTTTCAGAAGAGGCAAACAATTCTAGAAAGAGAAACCTAAAAGTTACAAATTCAAACAGAAAGTTAGTGGTAATGGCTGAACTGGGGTCTCTGGCCTCTCACCACAGAATAATAGCAACTTTTCCAGGAACTTGGAAGATGGAAAGCACATTTTGTAATTACATGAGAACGCAAATGTTCAGAAATTAACCAATGCCAGATTTTAGATCACTAACCTTGACAGTTAACTGTTATAAAAAGAGGTATTGCGTCCTTCCAAATTTTCCAGAGCAAATATACTATCTTTAAAGGAATAACTCTAGTCCCTGAAGGATAAGATTGCCTAAGAAGCCTACTTAAAAATGCTTAATTATGTTGTTGCTAATCTTTCATTATTTCTACACATAAGGAAAAGAGTTCCATTAGAAAATAGAGATAAGCAAAGACAAAACAAATGTTATTAATATCAAATGCTCAGTCTTAGAGTCTCGATCCACTCTGGTTTTATACATATACAGAGACATTTATATAAACAAAAGTTTTCAGACATAACATTTTCATTCATAAACTTTGCAGGCAATTTTTCTATGTATACTGACTTATAAATGGATTCATAAATAGCTGTTTTAATTAAATTTGACTTGTATACACACATATATATATATCCATAAACATAGTTTTAATCACTTAATCACAGTTAGAATAAAAATCCATTTCAATAATATCTAAATAATAATTTAATGGATATTTGCATTTTAATTAAATTATCTAGTATAATTTATTTACTTAATGGACATTGTAGTTGATTACCATTTTTCATACTATTAAAAACAATGGGAAAGTCCAGAATGGTGATACCTGTTTACAGTCCCAGAGTTGGGAGGTTCAGGCAGGAGAATCAGGAGTTAAAGTTCACCATCCTTTACATAGCTATGACAAGGTCAGCCTGGGCCATGTGAGATCTTTTCTGAAAAAAAAATACAAGTTACAGTAAACATTATTCCATAGTCATCTTTATATAGTTGAACAACTTGTTTCTTAAATTTTAAGTTGAATTGCTAGGAATTAAGTAGGAAATTCAAATTATCCAAGAAGGCTTCCCATATGAAATTCCAAAGTTCATGTTCCATTCTGTAACCTCATAGTGTCAAATATGTTAGTGTTCCAAATAAATGAAATCCTGTCTGTCTGGTGGAAGATGTAGCTAACGATGACTCAACTGAATAACATGTAACAAATTGTGCAAACATAAGTTGAACATAGCTGTATACATTGTCAGATAGTAAATCAAGCTGAATAATATATCCTTCACCCCATATAGCTATGATTTTCAACAGAACATTTAAATTTTCCTGCTGGTAGTTCTCCAGTATTCTAAGTATCATTTGTTATTTTGTGATGGTCCATGGCCAATCTCCAGAATGGATCCTGACTCATTTCTTAGCACCCAGCTAAAGAATCGGCTGTAGTTAGACAACTACAACAGTTATCTTAACAACACAATGGAAAAGAATCTTGAAAGTTCCACTTTTAATAGACTTATAACCACAAATCCAAATACTGTAGCACGTGAGCTAGAGTAAAGTCTTACCCAGAATTTTTTATTCAGTAGATCTTGAATGGGGACCAATAATAAACACTTCTAATAATTATCCCACAAGATCACTGTTTGAAATCACTGCCCGCACACGCTTCTAATACAAGCAAGAGTTGTTTTATCTGAGAAAAAAGTACTTTTTCCTCACAAATATTGGGAATAATTTAACTCACCATTTTTTTCTTTTCCACATTGGATATAAGGAATTTTTTTGACAAGTTCATGGTCTAATTTCCAACAATTTGTAGTATAACCTGGCATGTTTCTCTATACTCAATTATCTTTCTCTTCTCAACACTCTGGAAAAAATACTAATAAAAACATTTAAGGGAGGTTTTTCTCAGTGCTTAAGAGCACTTGTTGTTCATAGGACCTTAGTTCCATTCCCAGCACACATATTGAATCCTTGGGCACCAGGCACACATGTGGTGCACAGACATACATTCAGGCAAAATACTCATACACATAAAATGATAAAAGAAAATCTAAAACAAAAATCGACACCAAAATACTGCATCATGTTTCTGGTTTTCAAAAACACAGTCAGGCTCTCTGTTTAAAAAACAAATCTTCCATAATTGGAAAACAATGTCAGTTATCTGAATTAGTTATTTATTACCTGATGCATCTTTGAGAAAAGCTTAATGAACTTATTTCTAAAATATCTTGTACAATCAGTTCCATACAAAAGTTATTTTTAATGTTCAGAGTCACCACCATGCTGAGGCTTTAGCACTTGTATAAA